GTAGGGCTTTTCTCTTTAGAATGACGAAGGATGAGAGGTGACTTGATAGAGGTGTACAAAATGATCAGAGGTATAGATAGAGTAGACAGCCAGAGACTTTTTCCTAGGGTGGAGGTAGCCATTACAAGGGGGCATAGTTTTGAAGTGAGTGGAGGTAGATACAGGGGAGACGTCAGAGGTAGGTTCTTTACTCAGAGAGTGGTCAGGGCGTGGAATGCATTGCCGGAGAGGGTAGTGGAGTCGGCCTCATTAGGGGCATTTAAGCGGATATTAGGTAGGCATATGGATGATAGTATAAGGTAGAGGTGGAGATTAGATAGACCTTAGGATTAGGGTAAAAGTTCGGCACAACATTGTGGGCCGAGCGACCTGTACTGTGCTGTACTGTTCTATGTTCTATGTTCTAATATTGCACAGAAGCTAAGAAATATTTCACAGAGAAGACACAGGAAACATACCTCTTTGGTCATTTATCACTAGATTACCAAAAGGTCAGACATGATCCTTTTTCTCCCGCTTTCTCTTGTGCTGACTTCCACTGCTGCATGTCACCCCTGTTCCTTCCTGATAGGCCACTTTCAAAGAGAAAAGCAAAGGAGCTGCTGCTAACAGAGATATGGTTCTGAAGGGGCAGCACACCTCAACTTGTTCCTCACACTTGGGATAGCATTTGTGCACTCTAGGATAGATTTTCATCTTCACTGCCCGGGGCTGGAAATTCCATAGAATGTAGAGTACAGAAACAGACCATTTGGGCCAGCTAGTATATGGTGATCTTCCTTCTCTAATGGAATGTTCTCCCCCTGCTCTTCATCCAGTCCAGTCCCCATCACCTTTCAATCCTTTCTCCCTCATGTCTTTAGCTACCTTCCCTTACAATAGAAACATTATTTCCACCGTAAAAGAGAAACACTTACAAAAAATGCTCAGACATGTGGGTGCATTGCAATGTCTTGAATATATATTCTAATTTTAACATCTCAGAAATGATGCAACAGTGACCTTTCTCTGAAGTTGTGGTTGAGATGTTTGTTTGTGTTTTAGGAAGTTTTCACAGTTGCCCGGCCATGCCTATAGCTATAATTAAGGTTGACTGTTCAAATATGTGACATATTGACCACTGCTATTCTTCTTCATTGAGTGAATGAAAAGCAAATGCAGTTTCAAATCCTACACTAAATTTGGATTATAAGTTACTCCCAGGTGTCTTCCCCTCCGAATGGCTTCTACACTGTGTATTACTGAAATACATAGTTGCTGAATTTCTGTGTTTATAGAAATATATTACATGGAAGGTTCAGGACCAAACAGTTCATTCAATCCAGTTGGACCATGGCAGTTTCATAGCTTTAAGTATATTTAGTAAGTCACCAATTAATCTTCACTTTTCTCCAGAGGAGAACCACAGCTAGCTTTTCCTTATAGTTAATCTGTCGGAAGAAACTGTACAGTCAGTGCAGTTGCAGTGTTCCTTCCTCTGAGTCAGAAGGCCTGGGTTCGAGTCCTAGCTACTCCAGAGAAACGTCATAACATACAAAGAGGAAGTTTTGAAGAAGGCCCATTCCAAACTCAAAATGTTGACTTTGTTTCTCTCTCCTCAGGTGCTGACACACCAGCTGAGTTTCTCCAGCATTCCCTGAGTGTGTCATAATACTTCTGGACAAATTGATTATGAATATCTCAAATATGCTTGATATTTGATCCATTGAAATAGCCCCTTTTTCACCTCTCGCCTCATGATTTCCATCTTCACCTCCGACAACAAATACAAGGAATTCATAAGCTTTATTGCGACCAAGGCTGAGGCCATTTGGTCATCTGTTTTTGCCTCTTCCCTACTTTCCCTGAGTCCAGCCAACCAAATTCCACCACCGCTCCACCCCCCCCCCCCCCCATCCCGACCCCCACCACCGACATCTTGCACTGTTCCTAAACTCACCTCCTTTCTTTGGTTTCTCTCTTATCCTACATTACAACATGACCACAGCTCAGAAGTATTTATTTGGTTATAAAGTGCTTTGAGGTCTGCAGTGATTGTGAGGAATGCAATGTACACATAAGTCTTCCTTTCAAATTCTTTCATTCCCTTTCCAAGCTCACCTTGGCCATGAACCCGAGTTCAAACTCCCTCAATCCTATTCCTACCAAACCAATGATGCGATACGCATTCCTGACACCAGCCCACAACAAAAACCGCCCAACCCCAGGCTGACTGATATCGTTGATGGTTTCTTCTTAAGGCCATAAGAAATAGGAACAGGAGTAGGCCAATCGGCCTCTCCAGCCTGGTCTGTCATTCAATAGGATTATGGCCAATCCGACATTCCTCCTTTCTATTTTCCTTAAGCACCTTGGAACATTTTATAGCATTCAAGGTGCTAGGTAAATGCAAATAGTTGTTGCAGTGATCTGCCAGCTCATTAGTGAAGGAAATATTCATTCATTTTCACTTTTCAGTCAGTAATCAGTCATAGAGTCATACAGTACAGGAACAGACCCTTCGGTCCAACCAGTCTACACTGACAATAATCCCGAACAAAACTAGTCCCACCAGCCTGCACTTGGCCCATATCCTTCCAAACCTTTTCTATTCATGTACTTAGCCAAATGTCTCTTAAATGTTGTAACTGTACCTGCATCCACCACTTCCTCTACCAGTTCTGCACCTGATTCTGTCGTTTTCCTATTCCAGAATACATTGAAGCCCTAAACAACTAATGACAGAGCATTTCAAACTTCCAGTTATAGACTGGAGAGCTGAAAGGACTTCCCGAATGACGGCAGGGAAAAGAAGTTTTAAACCTGAGGTTAGATAAACATTGGATTCAGCCAGTTCCAGCTCTATTAATGAGCTCCTGGCCAGTGTCTTTAGGGGGAATCCCTAATCAAGCAAAAAAAAATCAAACAATAATGCATTTAAGGGGCACCCAATTGCTTTTTTTAATTCTTGTATGGGCATCACTAGCAAGGTCAATATTTGAGATTTAAGATTTAACTTCACTGCTCCGTGGCTGAGAATCACATTTATTCCTGGCCAGGCAAAGATTTCCTTTCCTGAAGGGTATTACTGAACCCAATGAATTTTTAACAACAGTGGTTACAATTGAACTGGCTTTTAATTCCTTTTTTTCCCCAAAAATTGAAATTAAATTTTACCATTTTCCATGGTGGACTCAAACCCATGCCCCCAGAACATCACCCTATCTCTCCTGACCTAGGGGCATTACTACGACACCACTACCTTCCTCAGTGCTTGTACAAAGAAAGGAATGGGAGGAAATGTTGACAGAGTGAGATAGGGTAAGGTGGGAAGAGACTTGTGCAGAAATCAAGGATTACGGGGGAAGGCAGCAGAATGGAGTTGAGAAACATATCAGCCATGATTGAATAGCAGAGAAGACTAATGGACAGAATAGCCTAATTCTTCTCCTATATCCTACGGTCTTATGGTCATAGGCATGAACCAGTTGAGTTGAATGGCTCTTCATTTCAAGAATGTAACATCATTCAGGCCTTATGCTAGTACTAGGCAAAAAAAGTAACAACGCACTTCACATCTACAGCCAGAATAATGCAGTTGAAGGAGGCCATTCAGCGCATCCTGTGGTTTCATCTACCCAGCACTTGGCCCAAAACCCAGTGATCATTCCTTTCCATGTATAAGAAGACTCTGGGGACCCTTTCTCTAGAAGAGCAAAGCTACTGTAAGTTCAATGCCATGATCCAGGTTGGCTTAAAAATTTAATGTTGGACCTATTTCAGGCCAAGCAATTCAAATCATAACAACTCACTTTATCTGTATCTCTTAGAAATTCCTCTTCATCCCCTACCCTCCAGTTTGCTTTGGGTAAGAGATAAAGAGACAGGGAGGACAAAATAAAAACAGAAAGGGCTGAAGAAACTCAGCAGGTCTGGCAGTATCTGTGGAAACAGAAACAGAGTTGACCCCAATAACTTTCCATCAGAACTGAGGAATGATCAATAGCCCTTGTCTGTCCATCCAGAGACACTGCCTGAGTATTTCCAGCACTTTCTGTTCTGATTTCTAGTAAACAAAATGGCATTTACTTGAAAAATGAATGATTGAGCACATAAATGATGCATTTATTTTGCATCTGAAGGATACAATACAAACTGGAATTCCCCATCAGGCCATAATATGGAAGTAAAGGTGGCAAGACTTAAGTCAAGATTGTCAGATGTAGAATGTCACCAGCTATTTTTATACTAATGGGTTAACAAGCAGGTATCTGTAAGCAAGGGCCAGAGAGCATCATATGGTGCATTAGCAGTGTCCTTACCTCTGGGCTGGGAGGTGCACATTCAAGTGACATGTGGACATGTTAGGAGAAGTTGATCTTTTTTGTAAATTTGAGTGTGAAAGCCTTCTGAAGTTTGCACTAGCGTTTTCTCTTTGCTTCTGACAGCACTTCCCTCCATGTCATTTCTGACAAGCCACCCTCTTCTGAACGCTTTCCTGCTACCCCTTGCCCCATGGGGGAGAGTGACATTCCCAGCCGGGAAGTGAATTGGGATAAATTCAAGCACAGACTGCTCTCCCCGGTCCCCAGACTGGGCGCTGTAAACCGAACTTTGCTGCTCACTTACTGCGAGGCCATGCGTTCCGGACCCACACTCTCCCCCTGACCTGAGGCGTAACATAAGCAAGGGGTACTAAACTGGACACACACACACACACACAGAGAAGACAGATCTAGAACCGACTTAAAAGCTGAACTTATGTAAAATACAAAGCCACGAAAGAACACAACAGCGACACTCGCGTGAGAAAGTGAAAGCAGAATTGAAAGATGGACCCTAATGAACTGATGATAAATAAACTCGTTTCTTCTTCCGATTTCAGGTGAACCCAGCCCCAACACTACGCATCCGCTCTCAAATGATTATTTCTTACTTTTGCATTCCATTTTACAGCAACGTTCCGCTCTTACAAACCCCCGCACAAGGATCATCATGTGCCGGACGAATGATCTCTTTACCTGAAGTTTGCACAAGGAAGCCGATTTCTTCATAGGGAGTAGATATTGGGTGTTACCTCCTGGTCTTAAAGGTCTTGATCTTGAGGAATAGCTCACATCGCTGGGAAGCTGGTGCTAACACATGTCCCGATTGCACACACACTGACACAGACAGACAGCGAGCGAAATGTACGAACCCACCCCCTCACATGTGATTTCCCAGCACAATGTGCAGCTTCAGCGTTGGCTTGGGAACCGGTGTCTGTGCCTGAGCTGGGGTGGGGTAGAGACGATTTCACTTCGCACCGTTCCCAAAATTCATGCAAGGCGAAGGACAGCACCCTCCCCAACCCCAGTCAAATACTGCGTCCCCAGTACTGCCCAGGACACTGCCCAAATACAATCCCCGCCTATGGTTCCCGAATACCATATGAATACATTCCGTGTCCCCAGATACACTGCTCAGTAACTTCCCCACATTTAAGCGCCTGCAGACGTCCCCCATTCAGAACGGTCTGTAAGATAATGCCTGGTTGTCTAGCAGAGGTTCCACCGAATAGAGTATTCAGTCTAATTGCAGTGCAATGTTCTGCATTGTTCCCAGTTCAGTGGTGCATGATGCGTACCAACACAATATTTAATCTATTCTCCAATCCAGTGTCTAGTAGAATGCTTAATAAAATAGGAAGTTCAAGCTCCTGTTGAGTGGTCATCACAATCTCAATACATCCACTATTAGCCCATTCAGATTTCGGTAGAGAACAGAGGAACACGAGGACGAGGGCTTTTATTGCTTAAGACCTGCCACCAAACTCCACATACCCTCCTCTAGCCCATATCCCTTTGTACTGTCAGTGAACAAAATCTAGCAATCTTAGATTTAAAATTGACAATTGGTCCAGCATTAATTGCTGTTTGCAGAAGAAAACTGCAAACATCCATCCCTTACTGAAAGAAAGTGTTTCCTAATTTCACTCCTGAACAGTTTGGCTTTAATGTTTAGACACTGGCCCTTTGGCCTAGACACCCCAAAACAGCAAACTAATTGATTTCTATCTACTGTTCTGCTCCCTTTAGTATCTTGAAAGAATTTGACCAAAGCACCCTGTAATCTTCTCAACTCCAATGAACAGTTTGGGTACAATAAGACAAAGAACTGTGGATGCTGTAGAAATGAAACAAAAACAGAAATTGCTGGTGAAACTCAGCAGGCCCACCCACATAGAATCATAGCATCATACAGCGTGGAAACAGACCCTTGTCCAACTTGTCCATGCCAACCATGTTCCCAAACTAAACTAGCCCCATTTACCTGCGTTTGGCTCATATCCCTTTAAATCTTTCCTATTCATGTACCTGTCCAAATGTCTTTCAAATGTTGTAACTGTACCTGCATCTACCATTTCCTCTGGCAGTTCATTCCACACATGAATCAACCTCTGCACAATAATGTTGACCTTCAGGTCCCTTTTAAATCTTAAAAACTGAAAGAACGGCGGATGCTGTAAATCAGAAACACAATCAGAAGTTGCTGGAAAAGCTCAGCAGGTCTGGCGGCATCTGTGAAGAGAAATCAAAGTTAATGTTTTGAGTCCGGCAACCCTTCCTCAGAACTTTAAATCTTTCTGCTTTCATCTTAAAAATATGCCCCCTTGTTTTGAACTCACCTAACCTAGGGAAAAGACCTTCTTGCCTCAAATGTGCCCCTTATTATTTTATAAACCTCTGTAAAGTCACCCCTCAACCTCCTACACTCCAGTGGAAAAAAAGTCTCAGCCTATTCAACCTCTTCTTATAACTCACACTTTCCAGTCCCATCTGTGGGAAGAAAGCAGAGTCAACACTTTGAATCCATTTACTCTTCGTTAGAACTTTGTAACCTCTCCATTTAATTTAGCCACTGAAATCCAGGCATCATTCTGATAGGTTCACACTGCACACTGCACCAAGCTCAAGATAATGTTGTCAAATTGTGTTAGCTTGAACTTACAGCACTCCAGTGCCATCTAACCACGGCTTAGCATTGATGTAAAATAATGTCTGTACCTCTCTGTTCTTTAGTCCTCAACATATAGTGGCCTTTAATACTTAGTCATTTTGTTTATTTAATTGCCCTGTTTGATCAAGGTTGGTGAAGTCAATGCTTCCTTTTCTAGTCCCACTCTTCCAAAGGCTTCAACAAATTTTAAATGTAACCAGGCTGGTAGTATGGCCAATTATAAAGGCCTCAGACCATGTCAGGTTTAATATTAAGAACAGTCAGCCAGGTTTCTTCAGTCAACATCAAATAACCGGTTTATTACTAAAAATAAATGTATTAAAGTACAAAGTTTATTGAAAAACTATTTTGGCTACACACATGTGAAATTCTGTATCTTTCCTTAGAAAAACAAAGGTAACACACCCTAATGGTGAGAAAGAAAATGAAAATGACATGGTGTTCACTTTGAAGCACTTAGGCTGACTAATAGTGAAACTCATGAGAAACAGAATAAATTGTGGATTGTCCCAAATTATGTCCTGATTCCTAAATTTTTCTGCAGACCTATAAACTGCGGACACTGGTGTGGCTTCCTGGCAGAGTTGTAACTGGCTGAAGGCAATTTTTCTCCAGTTGATAGGGTAGATCCTAAGGAATTCTCTCAAGGAATCCTCAATGAATGGTCATGATGATTTCCAATGGGTTTTCAATTCATGCTTTGCTGTGGGGAATAGTAAAGAGGCAGGGAACAAAGGGCTGTTGCTTCTCAGGAATGTCTCAAATTCTCTCTCAATTAGTTAAAAACGCAGTATTGTCATCCCACTCACAAACTGGGCCATGTGACCACTGAGTGAATGTCTTTGAGACTTTATGACTCATCCAAGTATACTTCACATAGATACCACATTGTTGCCTTTTCCTTAGGAAAGTTCCTTTGTTTAAAAGTTCAAGATATAGTTATGAGGGTCCACACTATTTTTTAAAAATAATATCTGGAGTGCACCTTGTCATAACACTGTTCATGCCATTTTCAATATCCGCATACATGAATCCTAAGTTCTTTCACTGGTTCAAAATCTTGGAAATCCTTTCCAAACTGCACCCTGGGTGTACACCATGTGGTCTGCAGCAGTTTACCACTACCTTTTGCGGGACAACGAGGGATGTGCAATTGATGAATGGTGCCCATATCTTGCAAACAACTATAAAAAATACAGTATAATTACCTTTCTGGAGTTGTTAATGCAATATCTAGTACAGTTCTAACAACATGTTCAGGGCAGGTCCCACGTGACTCCAGATACATAACAATGTGGTTGATTCTTCTACCCTCTGGGCAATTAGGCAATAAATGTTGGTTTGGCCAGCGACATCCTCTCCCCATGAATGAACAAATAAAATGGTTCAGTAGAGTTTCCTAAGGTGTTCAGCAGAGTTCCTAACAGTATTTAGTATGCAGCACTGTTCAACTTTTAGTACAGATCCCAATACTGTTGAGTACTGCAATCAGCACAGTTTACAGTCCAACCTCCGACACAGTGACTGGTACAGTTTCCAATGCAGTATTCAGTAATATCTCTGATACATTGCTTAGTATGGAAGTGTTTGCATAATCTAGATCCCCGGGCTAATGTTGTGGGGACATGGGTATGAATCTTACCACGGCACATGGTTAAAGTTTGATTTCAGGATAAACCTGAAATGGAAAGCTAGCCTCATGATATCTTTTGTCATTAAATCTCCTGATGCAGCGTTTAACTTATTGTTTAAAACAAAATAAAGGATCTGAAACAAAAACAAAAAGTGCTGGAAAAACTCAGCAGGTCTGGCAATATCCATTGTGAGAAAAATAGAGTTAACATTTCCAGTCCAGTGACCCTTCTTCAGAACTGATTTGAAGGGTCACTGGACTGAAAATGTTAATTCTGTTTTTTCTCTTCACAGAGCCTGCCAGACCTGCTGTGTTTCTCCAGCCTTTTCTGTTTTTGTTTAGCTCAGTGTTTGTTTCCAGCACAACACTGAACGGCTAATTTGGTACCTCAGACAATGTTAATGCAATTCCAAAATAATCATAAGCACCAGGTATAGGCTTATCATCATCTTCAACACATATCTCCATTAGAGCAACTTTGGCAATTTTTTGGTGATGTGTTTGTATGATTCACTGTAATTGTTTTAAAAAAAGTGTCTACTACCTACATAATAATGGAGCCACAAAGTTAATTAACAGGGTATCTTGTGACATAAGAAACTGGTTCATTTAGCTGTAAAAGCTAAAATAAATAACTAAGAAACCAGTCTGACTTGTGTGTGCTCCTTATTTATCACTTTCAAAACAAATTTAGCTTGGTGATCTCTGTTGTTCGTACGTCCTGCATCAGTACATTGCATTCAGTTGGGTTAATGCACAGCAGTAGTGTGTCATCTGATTGCAAAACACTTTAATTTGTAATGTGAGAGAGATAGTAGGAACTGCCGATGCTGGAGAATCTGAGATAACAAGGTGTAGAGCTGGATGAACACAACACGCCAAGCAGCATCAGGGGAGCAGGAAAGCTGAAGTGTCGTGTCGAGACCCTTCTTCAGAAATGGGGGAGGGGAAGGGGATTCTGAAATAAATAGGGAGAGAGGGGGAGGCGGATATGAGAATATATAACCATATGAGACCATGCAATATAGAGGCACTGGAGAAGGCACAAAAACAAGTTACAGAAATGATAGTAGATTGAGATATTGTAATTTCAGTGAAAAGAAAACTTAATGCTTAATAATCTTTGTGAGCTAGAGTTTGCAGGTACTTGGATTTTTTTTAATGATGTCAATGAAAGGATTTGGATTTGTTTTAATGAGACATTTCTTGGTAGCCACATGTCTTATGTTAATTGCTGGTTTACTGGAGAGCACCTGCCTGGGTTTACAACTGTCAGCCTCCAGTTTCTGCTTTGGATATTGTTTGGGATTGTTGGGAAGAAAACTGATGAAAAAAAAAAAATTGCCCAGCACATTTCTCCTGTTCCTGGAAAAGCAAATTAGCAATGGAGCCCTGGTCCAGCTACTGTCACATGAGAATCCTCTGAAATAGTTTGCCAATATTTTGTGAATGACTGCATCCTCAAAGATCCCCAGAGATAATTGCATATGTTCAGCAACATCTGTCTTTATGTCCCAGGATGCCAGATGAACAACCATCTGAACCTTATTGTTTTTGCCTTCAACAAATGAGACAAATTAGGAAATGTCAAATTAGGGAACTGGGAAATCAGGAAACACATATTTACCCAGAGAGCAGTTAGAATGTGGAACTTGAGGTAATTGAATTGGTTAGTGTAGATAAGAACCCAAACAAACAC